TTGTCAGTTCTACAGTTGAAGGAACTGAAGAAAATTCAGTTTCACACCTTACAGCCACTACCATCTTTCCTGTATCACCTTCATAATTAGTATTCATTTGAATAGACTTTATCTACCTAGACTTTTTTTTTTTTTTTAATGCAATGAAACAACTTAAGAACATTTTCTTCTGTTACGCTACCATTAATTGTATGGTTCTCTAAAAAGACTAAAAAGAAGGGTGGGAAATAGAAGTTTTGTAAAACACCACAACTTAATTTAGACAGAAAGAAACAGAACTTACCCCAGTGATGAATTCCTCCTCAGTTTACAGGGCTGGCTTATTTGGCTCAACAGAGCAGACAGCAGCAGCTATAAAAGAATTCTGTTTCCAAAGTAGCTCTTGGACATTCTTCTTTCCTTTTCCTTTTCCTTGCTTTTATACCAAAAGAACCCAGAAACACTTGAAAGTGTGAGGGAACAAAGGATATCAGTAAGTGCCAGCTCAGAATGAGCAACTGAACACAGGTTGGAATTTCATGCCAAGATAAGCACGTGCCCTTACAGTTATTTGATGAGAGCTCCGTTTCCACCTAGGTCACAAGACATTAAAATGGCTGCAGTGCAGTCCTTGCGAATTGTTTGTCATCTGATGCCAGACCCGTAGCTGCAAAGTTCTTCATTCTGGGGAAAATCCCCCCCAACATCTGAGAAATCACAAAAGTCTGCTTTCTCAAAAAAAAAAAAAAAAGAAAAAAAAAAGCATGTGTGTAAAACACATTTTGTAGATCCTTAAGCAAATCACTCTTTAGCAGTACCACAAGCCTATCCCAATCCATTTTGCATGATAGCATTCAAACTCAGAAAAGCCAGGGGAGTTTGTGATTGGAGATTTGGCACAATGATTTTTTTTTTTTTAAATCTGGATGAACACTACAACTTTGTAAACTGTTTAATTCTTCCACTTAGACCACTAAATGATGGGCAAGAATTTGTTGCATATTTTAGCTACAGCCACACAGTAACAGTTGAGAGTATGCTTCTGGATGCTGAATGCTTTTTAGAACGGAACACGTTCCAGAACTTATAAAAGCCATTATACGCATCAAAATCTTAAGATACCAGGAGACCAATTGAAGCAGAACTATTCAAGAGAGCTGACTGCCTTACCCTTTTTGTGGACCCAGTCATTCCTGTAGTTAAATTTCTAGACTAAAGCAATTAAAGATTCTCAGGCTAGTTGAGTTCTCTACAGGTCATGTGCTGTTCTAGTATTTAATCTAGCAGTTTACTGTATTCCAACATGAGCTTGTAATTGTTACTATAAAGTTGCACTGAATTTTCAACTTGAGGAGAAGGAAACTTCCACAGTCATACTAATTTTAGAGTTTCTCTTTAATTCCAGCTGCCTTACCCAAACCGCTGTTGACCCACAAGAAACCAATTACAGAGTATAAGTGCTGTTTGCCTGGAAAGTAGCACTCTACCCAGCTAGCTCCTGCTAGGACTAAGACTGGATGAAGCGCAGATTTACTTGAAATCATTAGCTGCTCGGCATTGCAAGCTTAGCCATGAAGTGCTGACCAGCACAAAACGAAAGCATTACATAAGCACTAGGAGCATTCTGGCCTTCATTAGAAAGGTAGATACCACATCTCTTTGCCATTGTTATCACACAGTACAGCAAGCAAGAGACAACAATTGTTAGAATTGTGCCAACACTGTCTACAGTTACTGATTTTAAAACTTTCCAGGCTGGATGGGGTTTTGAGCAATCTAGTATAGTGGGAGGTGCTCCTGTTTATAGCTGTGGGTTGCAAATAGATGATCTTAAAGGTTCCCTTAAATCAAACTACTCCAGGATTCTATGATGAATTCTGTACTTGTTGGCATTTAAAGACAATTTGCCCCATTCAAGTAGAACATGATATGAAAGGTATAGCTCACTGCTATTGCTGCTAAATTAATGCATTTCATTGGAGAAAGCCTAGAAGGCTAACAGTAGCACCTCCTCTGGCATGGGACTACGCTTATGATTTTCCAGACCAATGAATGAAGCTACATCAGCGTGTGACTGCCTCCTGCAGCATTACCTCTGCACATGACAAAGTGCGCTGATGTGTCTGGTGAAGAGACCGCTACTCCCTTTTAAGTCGCTTGCTGAGCCCTCTATATTATGTGCTTTGGTATAAATTTCCCTTTTTGCTGCCTGGCATCCTTATTTATCAGTTTAAGATACCTGATGTGGCAGATTAGTAATAATAACCAGACCCCATCCCCAGGACACGAAGACTAGAGCCACACAATAGATACTGCAGATTTACATTTATAGTTGGACTTTTATAATAATTAAGATTAGCACAAGATTCATAACCATAAATTATACATTGTTATCTAAGTACATAAAATGTTAATGATACAGGTATTTGAAGAGCGGCACAAAACAGTATACAGCCTCATAGGCATTCTCAAAAGAAAGAGGTGGGTGGTAGACACCACTGATGCTACTGCAGCACAGCAGAACTGAATCTCTGAATCTTGTTGATTCAGATAGAGCTGACTGCCCATCAGACGAGGTCAGAACACAGTGTGGCAGGAAGCCAATGCCAGAACCAACTAAACGTGCAAATAAAAAGACAGGATCATTTCCCTACTACCTCATTATTTTAATAACATATCTCCCTTCCTAGTTCTGATACTGTGCTCTTGCACCTCAACAACTTTGGCAGGCCATATGCACTCCCACATTCACTTGCCACACACAGATGAAGTTTTCTTTAGTACCATTAAATGTCAACAACTAACATGGTCCCGCACTTGTTAAACAAAAAGGATCTGGGAAATATTTGCTCTCTGCCACGAGAAGATTTATTTTCTTTGAGTTTCAGATCTACTCCAGAAAATATAGAACAGACTCAAACAGCATCAAACTCCAACAGCACTAATGTCCAGAAAAGGAAACTTCCCCATTATTCCTCTAAACATTCAGAGCACAAGTATTAGAAAGCCCTTTTTTTTTTTTTCCCTCCCCACACACAGGACTGCAAACAAAATGGGGTAGTTGGATGAATTCGTTAAGGAGATGCTTCACTGAATTGTTATCAACTCTGCTACTTCAGCAGCTTCAGCTAAAGCTTTTTAACAACTTGGTACCACACAATTTCCCAGCTACCTTTAATGGGCTTTGCAAAAGAAAGAAAAATATGCTCTCTTCTCCCTGGCCTCAAGCAGTTATTGCTATATGGGTTAGTGAAGCAGTGCCTTAACTTCAGACAAGAATCTCACAATGTCATTAACAAAAGCTGCCTTTCAGAGGCTGAAATGTAATCGGACAGTAATCAATAAATAACAGTAACAGGCATCCTGTTGAAGTCTCCTCACTGAGCAGGGCAGCTAGTGTGTTAAGACAACAGGTCATCTGTGCCTTTAGGACCATCATACACTCCTCAGAGAAGTTAAAAAGGGAAGTGAAGAAAGAGGAGACAGTGACGGTCTGTCTGTCAGAGAACTAGTTACATATTGAAACCATAAACAGGTGGCTGGGTGAATCCTGGTGCTGTGTATCCATATGGAAAGTTTGTCTGGGGAGGTACTGCACTGGGGCCTGCTGTTAACATCAACTGCTGGCCTGGAAAAGCATGAGGAAAAAAAAAGAAAAAAAAGAGTTAGTTTACATACCCAAGCTTTCCTAATACTAGCTGTACTATGGGACAAGATTATGAGACTTTTCGCTAAAAATTGGCCACAGTGCAAGCACACATTAGCAAGTTACACTATTACTCAACATGCAGCAGAGCGGGCATTTAGGCCATCTGCTCTTGCTACCAGAAAACTAAAAGCAAGATAGGACTCAGATGAAAGAGGAATATCAACTGCTTTTGATGGTACAATAATGATGGCTTGTTTTGAAGAGACCATATTAAAAGCCAAACTGATACTTTAAACACCATGCATGGTCAGAACTGAATAGTAAAGCAATTCAAGCAATTAGTTCAGTCTGTTAGGTCTCAATCCAGAGAGTGCTACAAAAGATCTGAACACACCTCAACAGATTTGTTTTCATAACTAAGAGCACACATGCTTCATGCATATGTTAGATTTAAAGTTCATGTTTATATCAGACAGTGAACCATTCACATCCTTCCCTTACCAGCCACTTCTAGATGCTTGTTAGCAGAATGCCTCTTCAGAAGGGCTTCTAAAATAGCAGCACACTTGAGGACAGCTACATTTTTTTTTGGCTGCTTTTGTCTCAAAATGAATGAAATAGAAAGCCAGTCTGCCTTTCAGCTTGGAAGAGCAGAAAGCAGACACATTCCTCTTTGACAGGAACAGTAGGAGGAATTAGCATGCTTTTTAAGTTATTTCCGGAGTTGGGCACACCTTGGTATCCCCTCTCCTGTTACTATACTGAAAGCCTATTCCTAAGCTAGTGTTGTCAGCCATGTAAGAGAAGTAGGTCTTCAGCTGCACTTTAAGAGTGAGACGTCCCTTCAACTGGCACAGCTTTTCTAGCAGAGACAATGACTTCGCTAGCTTCTGGAAACCAGTGTACTTTGGAGGTAAGTCGCTTAAGTTACCTCCACAGAGAGACCAGGGTGACAAAAGGTTCTCAATTAAAGGCAAGTATCTCACGTACCAAATACTATTGGAGTAGGTTCAGTTACTTGCTCCTCTTCTTTCCTTAGACTTTCAGAAGCATCAAGATTATCCACCTACATTGAAGTGAACAGGAGATGTATGAAGGACTTGTCTAGGAACTGTACCATCACATGAGAGTCTTCATGTCTGGTACTGCAGCTATCAAGGAATCCTTTCATTATTAATGTAGGTTGGAGGCTGTGGCTGGGTACACACAATCGTGCAGACTGACTCCACATATTGTAAACCTGCCCTCCCAGTTTGCTTTAAGTTTACTGCAATTGCTGTCACGGGTAGCTGAAAGCAAACCACCATTACCTCCAAAAGTGCATGGTTTTTCATGGCGCTGTTCTATTCACTGTTAACTCAGTGACCTAGAAAACAAGCCAACAGATTGTAGTTCCAAGGATCATCTCAAACGGGCCTAATCTACAGTTACCTATTAACCTGCAAGCCCTCTTCGTTTCAAAAAGAGCACCAAGATATGCGCAAATATTCCATATCCATTAATATGTTATCTACAACTAGAAATCTGCGTTACAGAGTACTGGTTTAACTGCATTAATATTTACATAGACTCTTCTTGGAAGAAACTTTAGAGCTGTGTGTTCTAGTAGTACCATCTTCTATATAGAACCCATCTGTGAGAAACAAAGCTGTTAATGACAAAGTCTTTTGCCAAATGTTACAGTAGCACAGGAAACCTGAACACAGCTTTAAACTGGGAAAAGAATGAAACGGTGGGCAAAAAAGGCAACAGTACCTTCCTTCAGGTTTAAAAAGTTGCATATTCCATAGGTAAACCACTGAGAATGAAAGCTGCAAAGCCACAAAACCATACAAATTCATACCCAGATGCAGGCAGTACTAATATCCTGAAAAAATATTTCAGTTAGCTCAGTACTTCTTTTTGGCCTCCTTTCCCACTAAAAGAATCACATCCAGTATGACAAGTGCTGCAAAAGGTGTTTCTAATATACTTCAAAGAGGTTACCTAGTTCTTAACAGTTCCCTGAATTTTTGAAGCTTGCTCGTCAAAAACTTAAGCAGCCATAGGCCTTTAACTCATTCAACTTTGTCTTAGTTTCAGCTGGGATGCAATTGCTTTCTTCAGAGTTTCTGGTATGATGCTATGTTTTGGCTATAGGAGAAAACCTGTTGAAAACACACTGATGTTTACAGTTGACTGCTATACAGTGCTGTTTAGAGCTAAGGCCACTTTCAGTGAAAGGCCTAAGGAGCTCAGAGGGAACAGGATTAGGACAGCTGACTTAAACCAGCCAAAGGGATATTCCATACCATATGACATTAAGAGTTTTGAAGGGGATAGGAGTTTATCTGGCACTCTTCTGCTGCTCAAGGGGATTGCAGGGCATTAGTCAGGGGATGGTGAGCAATTTCTTGTGCACCACTTGATATATACCTACACACACACACACACACACACACACACACACACACACACACCTGTAACTATTTTCCTTCTCCCTATCTTCGTAAATAGTTTTAACCCACTAATTCTACTTTGTTGTTGGTTTGGAGTTGCCGTTTGTTTCTTGGTGTTTTTTTTTAAAAAAAAAAAACAAAACAAAACTGTCCTTCATCCCAGTGGGAGTGGGGAGAGTGAGCAAATGACTGTAGTGCTCAGCCATCTGCAGGGTTAAACCACAAACTTACAGCTGTCAACCTAACAGTTCTTTAGAATGACATTAAACATTAGCATTATGAATACTGTCCCTATTAATATGGGCCAAAGTAATTAAGGTCTACCATTTTCAAATGAGGTGCATTGTTGTACTTATGACCATTAATTCCCACTCTCCTGAATTAGTCTTTACTCTTTACAGCCCCAAAAGCACTAAGGACCTTGGAACAGAAGTTCAGTTACTCCCTCTGCTGGAAAAATCTGCAAGCGTGCTGAAAGCAGACACCGTGAAGAATGGACAAAAGCAGCAGAGGCTAAACATCTTTCTGGTTTGCTGCCTCAAAGTGAAGTTATTCAAGAGGTTTCCAAATGAACGCTATCATACTGTGTGTGCCTAGTTTCTTCTAGGGCACAGGCTAGCCTATGCTTTCAAATCTTTCTCTTATGCATTAAACCAAAGGTAAGTTCCAGAAAACATACACACTCCGCTGATAAACCAACAATTTGTTTTGGGCTTTTGAAGTTAGACATGTGACAAAATTTTAGACATACCACATTCAAGACCCATTCTCTAGTACTGTGACTGTAGTTAATTCAGACTAAATTAGTTCCAGTGTAAACCATTTTCACCACGCACATTTTCCTTCTGGCAAGTTACCCAGTGTTTAGTAAGTAACCGCTTGTAAATCCAACCAGCAATTTAAAAACCATGATCTTAACCTAAACCTTATATGGAAGAATACAAGTGGACTTCTGTGGCAAGTTTTCCTTCAGTAGAATATGAGGATGAAGAGCTTAAGATCGGTGCAAATCTTTTACTGATGCTTTAGGTTACTAGTCAAGCTCACAGTGCCTGGAAAGCTACAAACTCTAGAAATTTATATTTTAACAAGCAATTTGCACTTAGAATACATCATGTTATGTATTAACTTCTTTCATCTTACGAATGTCATCCTCCCTGCCACAAGGTATTTGTGATACAATAATCAGGAGTCCCAATAGTCAAGTCCTCAATCACTTGCTTCCATTTCCCATGAAAAAAGGGCAGAGACTGGTTGGATTTTCAAGTTATTTATGATCAGTCATCCTCATAGCATTAGAAATGAACAGAAAATGAGTTAGAGCTAAATGACACTGCTCTTCTGGCAGAAGCTACAGCCAGATTCTTGTAAGAGAATCCTAGGATATTGAGAAACACAAATGAACACAAAGTTAGAAATCAGAGTGTCACCTTATAGAGCAGCTCATCAACCTGCAAGAAAATTCAGAGGGGAATTCTTAACATGACTGATTAGAGGCAATTTGAAGAAATCACTTTAGATTACTGATTTCAACAAAATTCTTAATTCTGAAGATCTAAGCAACCCTAGAGCCTTTTAAGGAAGAATCTTAGTTTAATATGCTAGAGCTGTTTGAGACAAGCTTTTCTAGACTGCACATGATCAGAATCTCTCCTCTCTCAATTCAGGACTAACTACTGGTATCAAACTGGTATTGTACAGATTATGCACTGAAATTCTGTTTTCAATGAAAATTCACTTTCAGCAGTCTACCGTTATGGCTGGTGTACTGTTAGTCACACAGAAGCTATGCTTTCTGTAACAAGAAAACTGAGTGCTTTCACAGTTACATCAAGCAAAAAGTGATACTAGTTCTCTCTAGCAAATCTGTAGTTTAATCAACTACGGAGACATTCTAAAAAGTAGGCCATTGCTTATGTACCCTGTTGAAAGCAGAAGTTAACTACATCTCTTTCAAGTGCCAAGCTGCCTATTAAGAAGTGTAGCTATTTAGCCTGAAGTGACTGAACTCCGAGAAATTCCCAGAGGATTTAGCGTGAGGAATAATAACGCTCAAGTACTATGCAGAGAGCTTTACTCAGTTTGCATAAAACTAATCGTACAGCCAACTACAAGTTACAGTTTCTCAGCCTACGCAATACTCACTTTGGTGAGGTATTCTCTCATGACTTGGATGAAATAAGGCATTGCAAAGTCCATGATATTATGCCTCCATGCCAATTCAAGGACTACATCTGGGTGCAGCAAGTCGTAACATGTGAAAAGGCAGGCTGCAAAACATTCCTGCTTGCCTTCTTCCAGAAACCACTGAAGCAGCTTTTCTGCTAGTTCTATATCTTTGGATTCTGCAGCATACTGCATTGCATCCTGCAGAAAAGGACAACAGTTAAGCTTGACCCTTGCCTGTCAGCTTCTTGCTCTCCACCTTACGTACATGCTACTACTAGCTAGATGAGTGGGGTATCAGGCAAAACATGAAATTAGTCTTATATATCAACACGGTTGTGTTGGAGCTAAGTCACAACATAAGTGCTCAATTAAGTCCTCTTATTTTGAGTGAAAACTGTACAGATGCTATTGGTAGATATGAGTGATCTGAATACAGGATAACTTTATCAAATTAGATTTAAGATACAGATTTGAGATTACAAGCTATTCTATTCTAAGATTCTTTCCTTAAATTCCAAGCAAAGAGCTAAGATTTATTAGAACAAACTAAAGATATGAAGAGAACAGAATTCACTCAATTTCCTGAAGATCTATGCTTTGAGATCAGACTTTTCACAGTTAGGAAGAAAGGCTGCATTAGCTCACCTTATACAGATGGTCTTTCTTGCATAGCTCCACGCTCTGCTTCCAGCGGTTGTTACCCTTATACAAGTATGCTGCAATACGCCTAAATTCAATGAGCTCATGCTTTTCCAGACGCTGAGCCAAAGCTATGTTATCAAAGTTGTCATAGGCGTCAATGGAAGCTCTCAAACCCTGTTTGAGATAGAATTGTTACCCATGCTTCCAGATGGTAGTAGATGAGCACTACAGAAGAGAAGCATCCAAACATAGCTCACAAGTGATTAGGTTTTTCCAGCTGGATGTTGATGATATGGCTGGCTACAGCTTTTTTGCCATGCACATTTCAGGCTTTTGTCTTGAAGGTTGTCTCTAACATAACTGATATGCGCTTCATTTTCAGGTTATCACATTATGACTCAAGCCCCACCCATGCCCCCAAATGGTCTGATTCTACAACCCCATTACTGTTGTACTGCATAAGATCCCTTCTGCTCAAGGGAAACATGCTTTGTCAGCTTGGAAACAATCAAACTATGTCTTCATCTTTTTTGAAGAACAAGATGCGCACCTCAGAAGTACTGGTATCTTTTGTGAGGCTTACCTGATAGTCCTCCTCCTGTGTTAAAAGGTTGTTTAGAGCTTCATTAACTCCTTTATTATTGTGGTTCTGCACTGAACGCAAATAAGGCTTTACTAGTAGCAGCTGATTAACCTGGAGTTGAGATAATTTAATACACAATTAAACCAGGAGTATTGAGTGTCACAACAAACTCCCATTCATTATTACAAAAGTTTATTCCAGGATCCTTCAGAACTGCCAACATGTCATTTTGAGTTGCCAGAAATAAAATCAAATGGCCTCTTAGGCCAGTTATGCTAACTCTTCTAGTGCTTCCCATATCAAACTAGGGTTGGACTGCTTCTCAGTCCTTCATGCTGGAGATAAAACCACCTGACAGATACCAGCTCCTTCTTCCCCAGACAGAGGTTGGACTTTCTGTTTATCCAGTATCTCCCAAACTAACCTTCGAGAAAAAATTAACTGTCCTGGTGTGATCCAGTCGTGGAGATAATACAAGCAGAAGATCATTGATCAGCAGAGGTTTGTAGTCTAAGTAGAACTGCAAGGCTTTGTAATACAGCTCCACATTCGCCACCTGTGTGGTTACACACTAGTTAGTACTTCAAATACAAGTGAATTTAAGTGATCCAAACTAAGCAACTTAACTCAGTACAAAGTTCACCTGATTCTTAAAGGAGTAAGTTTCCTTCTACAAGCCAGAAGCTTTACACTTGCATTCAGAATTCTTGTTCAATTTTATGAGTGCTCTTTGTGTCATCTGCTTCCAGATGAAGTCACAACCTACCAGGAGTAGTCCAAACCAATACGAACTCATCCACTGTTAAGAGATCCTGGTATCGGCATCCCAGTAGACTTGGAGATAATGGGGCTATGTGTTGAACCCCTAAAGACTATGGTTTTAACCACTCAGTTTTATATATAGATAAATACAGTTTTATATAGTTTTGGTTTTTTTTTTTTTTTTGCCTTGAAACCTGTAAAACCAGTAAGAATAGGTACACAATCTGGAATGCTATCTAAACTATTCATTACCCCACTATTCTCCACTACATTCGTAGGACTGGTCACCCCAGTTCTCCCACAGCTGGAAACATTTGCAAAAGTCTCTCAAGAACTGTTACACCCTCTAAGACAGTGGTCATGTTATAGAAACTACAGAGGTCATACCTCCTGCCTGTGATCTATGATCCTGAACAGACCCTGAAAACACTGTCCTGTCTGATGCTACTCAACAGGATGTGAGGCACAACAGAAAACAAAGGATACAAACTTCCATTAACGTGTATTTATAAAAAATTTGTAAGTTTTGTTTTAACTACAGCAAGAAAAAGTAGCTTAAGCAAGTCTTTCTAAATGGGGATTCTGTTGTACATTTTTGCCACAGTTCTGAAATAATCTTTCAGTACCTTCATAGAATCATAGAATTAATTCAGTTAGCTAGTCATTCCAGACTGTCTCAGCTGAAAACAGAACACTTACCTTGGCAATTATGTCTTTAAACTGTCCTTCCTTCCAGGCATCGGTAGGATGATTCATCATAGTAATTATTGCATTGTCATACTCCTCATATTTGTCATAGAGGAATACAAGCTCTGCCCAGAGATGAGCCTGTTCTGCAGCTCTGAGCACCTGATAGAAGAAGAAAATAGTCAATCCAATTTACTGACATCTTCCTTTCTTCACTTGCACTCACTGATATCTTCCTAACTTTGCTTGCCATGTAGTTGCCGAATACCTTTGGAATATTAACTCTAGACCAGAAGAGCTCCAGATGTTCCCTCATTTTCTGGGGCTTAAATTTGGAGTATAAGATGGCGAGTTCAGTAAACATTCCCATGTGAGCACGCTCTAGGCCCAAAGCAGCTTCCAGAAGGGCAATCAATTCTTCAAAGTAGCCACGATCCTGGATAGTAAGAAAATAACAGTTAATTGCAAATTTATGGCCAACTACTACTTAAAGTTCAATTCAATAAACTCTCCTTCCCAAATGAGTTTTCTAAGACACTACTCCAGCGAGGCAATGGAACTGTAAGAGATAGGAAACTGAAAACTACCATCCTTACATTTACTATAAAAAAAATTGCACGCAACTATTGCAAAATAGAAAAACGTATTCAATTCACTTCTTTAGTCATTAAAGATCAGTCTCACAGGGTGTCAAGTTTTAGCAGTAACTATTTTATCAGCAGATATAACCAAGCAGTATAAATTTTCTAGGGCATAAACAGTGACCTAACCTGATAATAACTAATCAGCTCTTCAAGTTCATCAGCATGGATGACTATGTGCAAGCCACATATCTGTGCCAAGCGGAATTCTCCTCCATCCACACAGGCAAAACATACCTGCAATGAGAGGTAACAAACGGTGAGTGCACAGCAGAATACTGCAATGCTTACGTCGATTCCTCATATCAAAGAACAAAGTTGATTGACAAAGCTTTACCAAACTCAAGGTTTATTCCAGTTCCAAAAAGGTATTACTATAATTGTTCTATAATTAAGGTCTGTGCCATTCATTTCATACTGTTATAAAAATCCACCTTTATAATTTTGGGGAGGTTACAGTTGATAGATACAGACATGCTCTGTAGCTAGAAACAGTTAGCAAGCAGAGATCATTGTAGATGGGCATAAATAAACCGTTCTTTAAGTCCCACATTACTGACAGAGCAAAGGAGTCCGGTTATGCTCAAAAGCAATACCAGAACACATTCTATAAACAAAAAACAAGGTTTAAATTACCTCCTTCCAAGTCCTTGTGCTGTTGGCTTTGCGGCCACTGTCCACTGCTGCCTGATATTCTCCAAGGTGCACCAAGGTAGATGCCAAGCGAGCAAAGTTAGATACGTTGTTATAAAGTAGTTTTGCTGCTTCATACATATCCTCTTCATAGCAACGATCACCAACCTGGATTAGAAGTCCAAAGTAAGCAGGTGTAACAGTAAGAATCAAGTCAGCTAAGCAGCAAGTCAGATGCGGGAACAGTGATCAAGGCATACCTGCTGTATATGGGCATTATTAGGGCCGCTAATAAATTCCTCCAGTTCTGAGAGACGATTAGTTTTCGCAAAGGCAAAAATAAGTTCTGTCTCTACATAAGACTCTCTAGCCTTCTTCCTGGCCATCTGCAAGAACTTGACTAGGTCCTCCCAGTTATCTTGAAGAAAGAAGAAATATTTAATGCCCTCTATTTAGTTATTCTGTATCACTCCCCTTGCCCATGTTAGGAACAGTTTCTACTAGAATACTCCGTGATACAACCATTCACACTTGAGATAAGGTATTCCCCACTAAACAAGGGGCATTTTCACATAGCCATCAAATTCTGCCATACAGCTAAATCAGTACACTATACTTGGCTGTAATTAGGCCATAACTGTCTAAATTATCTCTACATAAGAGGTCTCTCTTCGATGTAGCAGTACAGACAAGCTTTTTGACAGGAATCTCACTAATCCATAGATTAGCTGATCCAATTTACTCTGAAACATATCTTGCAAATCTCAAGAACCCTTACCGTTTAAGGTAGATGAAATAACCCAATCCATATCTGAGCATCCTTAAGTTTGAGGATGATTTGGCTTACCGTTTCTATTAGCTGCTTGAACAACCTCCATGTAGGCAGATGGATCGTCTGCCTTTATGTAAGAGTCAATGGCTTCTTTTACCAAGTCCTTCTGCAACTGTGCTCTGGCTAGCTGGCTCCATACTGATGGTTCATTACATCTCTCTGCAAATTCATAAGCACGGTCTAAATTCCCAATGTGCTCAATCAGCACCTGTTTGAAGTCGAAGTTGCAAGTTAAAACAAAAATAATAATAATAAAAAAATAAAAATCAAAGCCTTAAGTTGTCCTTCTTCAAGTACACAGGTTGTTTTAAGCAAGCAATGCAAAACTAACAAACTAACTGCCTTTAGAAAAAGTTATTTCTATCCAGTAAAGTAGAGGCAGCAAGAATAAAACTCCTGCTGCTATAATTTCTCTTCTGCCTTGAAATCAGCATGCTGCCCTGAAGCATAATAACACCTGATACTATTCAATCCTCCTATCCCCTTCAGGTGCAAGGTTCTGAGGTAGCGACTCAGAATCAAACACAGCACACATGCAAGCAAGTAGCACATCACACAGATATTCTTAATTAGTTTTAACAGATATGCATCTGAAGTTATTACTTTGAATTTGTTCTGTTATTCTTCACACACATTCCCACTTCTCCTTACAATTTGATATCATACAGGAACCATACTGTTACATCTCAGAGATTCAAGTTACAGCTGCTCTGAGAGAATCAATAATATACTTCTTCCCATGTTTTCTATTACTAGCATTCTATACCTTTGTGAAGGAGCCACACCTCACCTGAACTGCTGAAGTATTAACATCAAATTTCCTGAATATAGCAAAGGCTTCTTCATACAGCTCATTACTGATGGCAATGTTTGCAATATCTGGAGCATCGTAGTTATCCAGTCGATTAATGTACTCCATTACACGAGTGCGGTCAGCTTTAATGGCAGTCAGGATCAGCAGATTCTGGAGATTCCTTTGGTTAACAAAAGGCATAGGCAATGCAAAATAACACCTACTTAAGTGACACGTATCGTACATGCAACAAAAGCTACATACAGCTGCTTGCTGTTGATAGCAACAACCTTTCATCCCCAGATTGATGAATATTGATATTTGCCTTGCAAAAGAAATGGCTTGCCAGTGTTGGTGCTGTTCTCTTTCAATAGGTCATTGCAAATTGAATAGCATGAATGAGCTTTATATTTAAAACACATAACATCTCCAATTCTGCTTTTTCACCTGACAATTCACATTTAGGAGTGTTTAGGTCTTAGATCCAAGAAACCCACAAATAAAGGATTTGGATTCTAGATGTGGATTACTTCACAACCTAAACAGACATACTAAATGTGCTAAATTTTGGGGGGGAAATGCTCTCTTCTTACCTGTGTTCACTGAATACAGAATTATCCAAGACAATTTTTTCCAGTAACTCAATTAATTCATTTGGAAGGTCTGCAGTCATGAAAGCTTTCACAGTGACAGAAACCTCCTCTGGATCCTGTGTCTCTGATAAAGCTGTTTGGACAACCTGGATTTGAAGGTGGGAGAGGAGTATAAGTCCTTCCAAAATGAGATTTCAGCGAGCAACAATACAAGGTTTCAGAACTGTCGTCCTCAGCAAGAAAGAGCTGCTTCTGAAGTGGATATGGCTACTAAAATCGCACTTTCAGAGTGCATAGCAAATGAGCTAGAGGCACATCACTCCATAGGAAAGAGCAATGTTTCACTAAGTTGTCTGAGCATGAAGTTCTGAGCTAATACCTGACGCTCAAACTCTTAAGCTTCCGCACAACTGAGACGAGGCCTCAGGGGACCTTGTGGGAGAAGCCTGTTACTTTAACGTTCCATAGTGGGTCTGAGTAATTCTTATACTGAAATAGCTTGTCTTTTGCAACGTACTTGGTCAATAAGCTGTCGCCTGAATGGGTTGTTTTCTTCTAGAACATTTGCCCAGAGATCAGGGTCCTTCCTGCGTACTAGATAGCGAGCCTCACTCTTAAATAGTGAGTTCTCATTGCATACCTGAAGGAGAAGATGCAAATATTAGAATTAATATTGAGGGTAAGTATCACATGACAAGGTTAACTAGCTATGAGTCAAACATTCTAAAAGACTGACTAAAACTAGTTGCTGACCAATGCTAATGCCACAATGTTCTTACCCAACCTTTGATTTGGAAGGCTCATGGAGAAGGTCTCCAGAAGAATTCCTATAGCTTCTCTTGATTTTGCCCGACACACAAACACTGTGACAGTGGTTTCACAGTAACTATCTGCTTCTGTTTGAAGTGAAGACCTGCAGAAGCCTGAAGAACTTACATTTTAAATCTAAAAAGGGTGTCACTTAATTGGGGAATGTTAATAGTGAATTGAGGAATGGTGCTTGTGTTTAAAGCCAGAAATAGGTTACATATTTGGTGTCATTAATTTTACTCTAGAATTGTTCAGAGTAGCAAGTGGCTGCGTTCCCCCTGTTAAAATGCAAACAAATGTGAGATTTCCTACAGAAGTGCAACAAGTAGCTATAAATCATGACCCTATTGGTGCCACTAGTTTATATTGCCATCTGGACGAGTACAAATCTGAAGGACCAGACACTTTCTTCTACCAACAGATCATATTTTGTTAGTACCAGAATTAGTTCTTGGAAGTACTTTGCTGTAAGAAAATTAGTAGTAGCTCACTTTTATTTTTCAATATACATTTATGAGTTGCCTAGTTACAGAACTTGAGCCCATTCCCAGGAAAGAGCAATGTTTTTTAAGTATAGTTCTTACAGAAGGAAGAATTTTCATACATATCCAGAAAGTTAAAACTTACCCCAGCAATATCTCCTATCAAAACAATTGAGAGCCACCTTCATATCCTGAAGTAAGAAACGAGCTGAATACAGCTAGCTACACATCTTAACTTTACAACTACAGAGAAGGTATCACTTCAAACATAGTTGCTTCAGACAGGGAAGCTCTCCCTTTTCAGAGGAAAAACTAGATAATACCACCATTCTAACCGACACAGTGCCAGTCCTGTCAGGAAATAACATTTACTTCCTTTTTCAAACAGGGTAAAAACAAATCAGTTCTTACCCCTACTCAGCTGGCAATCTTTGCATGTACTGTCATAGAAGTACAGGTAGGAGAATGCTTTCTTTCACAGCAGTCACTAGCATTGCAGTCTGACATTAAACTCTAATGCTCAGTATGAGACACTACGTGTCTGGAGAACCATACAAAATTTCACTTTCCCCTGAACTTCCAAGGGAATTTTGAGGAATGAATAAGTTTTAGATAGGAGAGGAATGCTATCTGAATTGGTCCTTGCAGTTCAACTACCAACATTTATTTTTTTCTTGCTCTAGCTGTGCATCAGAGCAGCTCTCAGAGAGTCAATCACGACAAAGGAAAACCACATCCCCCTTTCAAGTTTGAAACTGAAGTTTCAGGGAAACTCTTCCTCCTCCTGTAGTGTTAAATTAGGTTGCAACTTGTCCTTTCTGCTGATCAAGTACTCAAGGCTCAAAACAAAAGAACAAAAAACCCTGAAGTTAACAAAGATTTAACAGTTGTCATACTTATCAGCTGAGTCCAGAAAACTTGATCTAATTTTGAGCAGCCTGTGGATGAAAAACATGAATGGCACCTTAAATCTGCAATTACATAATTTTAGTTGGGACGCAGAGCATTATAGTTCCTTGTTATGATAAAAGTTACTGTCTCCATGCAGAAGATTCATGTCTACCTCAAATCCTGAGTGAGACTGCAAGACAGGATTCTGCAAATGTTGGACAAATTGCTAACTCAGCTTTCACCTCAGGCAGCAAGTACATTCTTTAACATGTTTATAAATGCAGTTTTGCTAACCTTTATGAGTTCCAGATCACACTGGCCCCTCTCATATGCAACGCAGGCCAGATGAGGGTCTCTCTTTTCACAGTATTTGCCAACTACACGACTGTCATAGTATGGATTCTCACGAAGGAACCGCTCTGGATTATTATTACTGTCAATGTAGATTTTGGCCAATGCATTATGAGTCGCAGGTTCTTCACAGCCTTCATGAATCCTTGATTCAAGCCATGGCAACAGCAATTTAAGCCTTTGAAGAAGCAAACATTTGAGCTTTGTAAGTTGGGCTAAGGAAGCCTGACAGGTATCAACAAATATCTGGCCATATCTGACCTTCAGTTAAATGTAAGAGAAGCCTGCAGGTTCCACTCAGTATTACCATCTTTCTTTTCAACTTCTGTTCTATTACGTGGCTCTTAACACTTGAAATCATTTTTTTCATTTTAGAGGTAACTGCAAACTAATTACACAAGGTGCTATGTGCCAAAAACGATACCGTGAAGACAGTTTTATCTAGATTTACCCCAAAGGCACATCTCATGGATGGCAAATTTGGAGTTCAAACGCTGTATTACTCATCATGCAGTGCTGTTGGGCATTCCTATATTGCTCAAACAACCAGGAGACTTGATAGAAAATCTAAGCTGTTGCTCTATAAGACACAAAAGCAATTTAATATTGTATCATTCAAAAAAGCTGCATCCAACTTGGGTATATATCAGGGTCAGGAAAGCCTGTGAACAGTGTTTACAGGTGTATCTTCATTACCGATTTCTTTTTTCCACTTCAGCCACCAGCTCATCTGTTGAGAACTGGCCTCTAACCACCATGATCAAATTCTTAATGACATCTTCAGAACAATCCACATCAAGAAGCCCTCCAACTACTGCTGGTATGCGGCTGGGGTTCACCTGGAATAAGCCACCACTATTAAAATCAGTTATTAGTGCTATTAATAACCCATCCCCTATCTTCCACACAAAGTTCTAGTCAAAAGTTTAAACTATGCTTTAAGAGCAGTGTATTTTGAGTTACTGATGCATTTTTTACATGAATTCTAGGAAAAACACTGCTTGTAGGTTTGTGATAGACAAGAGCTCAGTAAAAGGCATCTGCATAAGTGCAAGCATGAAATACACAGTTAGATCTACTTTAATTTTGGGTTTGTTTAGCTTGGAAAAAAGAAGGTAATGGGGAGATAATAAGGAGACCATATTGCATCCTTTCAGTACCTGAAGGGAGATTACAAGCAGGAGAGGGACAGACTTTTTACACAGTCTGATATTATAGGACAAAGGGGAATGGCTTTAAACTAATTGGAAAACTGAGGTTAGACATGAGAAAGACTTTTATTCAGCGGATGTTGAGGTGCTGAAACAGGTTGCCCAGTGAAGCCATGGATGTCCCACTTCTGGAGGCACTCAAGGCCATATAGGATGGAATCCTGGACAGTCTGATCTAGCGGGTAGCAATCCTGCTGACGGTTGGGATTAGGTGATCTTTCACAGTTCCCTCCAACCTAAGCCGCTCTAAGATTCCATGATTAACAAACCAAAAAGTTAAATTTCTTAGAAGGAAGGAAAGAGCAACACCTTAAAAGTGCATTTGCCTTACCTTCTGCACATAGATCTCTATATACTTCTGCAGACTATTGCGATATAAGTAGAGCACCAGGTCATGAACAAAGTCGAATCGATCACAGACAATGATCAGAGGAAGCTGGTCTGTTAGCTTTGCCTCCTATATTGTGTGGAAAAAAAAATGTGAGATAGCATTCACTGTTTGTTAAAGCATTTTCAAAGCAGTATAGCATAATTGAGTTGTTTCACAGCTAGAAATCACAAAACATTCAAATTTAAGACTGCTGAGCAAACAATTAACTTCAAAAGCAAGTTAGCCACTATGAAAATCATATGGTCAGTCTAGCAATTGAGTTTTAAATTTAAGTTCTTGAAGTCGCACATTAGGCCTACATGCCTAGCTTCAGTAGAACTATCTATTCACATATCCATTCAGAAGGTGATTATTGGGCAACAACTTAGCGCAAAAATCAAACGGCATTAAAATCCCACTATACCAGTCACAAAGTATGCAAAACATTCTGACAATTGACTCCAGTTTTGCCAAGCTTTGTCTAATCAATACCGTTGCTAAAGTTTCAGCTGAATACTTCAACATACTACTTCCTTCTGCCAACACCGACCCACCTACTGTTAAGTGAAGATAGCTTGTACCCCATTCGATCTCTGTACCAGTTTGATACCAATTCGATAGCTTGTACCAGTTGAAGGAGGAGAGCAGTGGGATTGGGATGCTTTCTGTCCACTCTGTCACATCTCCAAGCTGCTCAGACACTGGAGCTGTGTCTAGACTAACAAGCAAAAGGCATGAAGGCTGGTATGCGACAGTCCAGCTGTTTAAATGGACATGTTTTGGATCATGCCAATTCAACACCATGAAAGCGACTTACGAACAATATGTGGGCATGAGGGAAGGCTGATGGTTGGACTAGATGATCTTTCCAGTCTTTTCCAACCTTACTAATTCTATGACCTATGGGTTAATTTTTACAGGAACTGTGGTTTTTTCAGAGATTGCCAAGAAGGAGCTACTGCATGCCTGGAAAAGGACTGGATTCCTATTCCAGTTACATAGTTGACTATTCATAGCCATGTCAGTTAAAACTTGAGTTGGTATTATCCTCCCTTTAGAAGGCTGAAGTTCTGCTACTCTACAGAGATTGATTTGTTGGACAGAGAATTTACCTTCAGAAAGTTCTTCACCCGTTCTGGGTTATAGCAGTTACTTTCACGGCAGATTCTTTCCACTTCCTTTATCTGACCAGTTTTGCAAGCTGCCTGGATGTATTTGAAGTGAACATCTGGATCCTGGCTGAAGTTTACAATGGAACCCAAGAAATAGAACAGTCCTAGAAAGAATAACGTTTTTAACCCAGTTAGAAGGACAAGTCAAGTAAGTACAGACTTATGAACTTCATTTTATAACTTAGTTCAACATTGCTAAGAGCAGTTTTCATTTAACTACAGGAAAACCAGTTTTGGTTTTTTTCCTCCTTTCCAGATTTTTCTTTCTCTTTGAGAGAGGGCAAAAAGACTTTCTAGAACAAGAGTTATCCCAAGAACGCACTTGAATAAATGCACGCTAGGATCCAGCCAAGCGAAAGTACCTTTCCCACAAAAGCTGATGCCCTTTGTATCTGCTCTTCCTTTTAATACTGTACCTTCATAGCTTTTGAAAGATTCAAAAAGCTCCACAAGAGACTGGGTGCCAAGCTGCTCATGATACTTAGAAGCAACCTGTACACAGAGTTGTAAGTTTTGCCTAATGTTGGCTGACAGCATAGCACGCAAGCACTCTACAGAGTCTTCAACAGAGAGAGAGCCAAAGAAATTCACAAGCCACTGCGAAGAGAAAGAAGCTTCACTCAGTAAATTATAGAGGATTCAACCAATTTTTTAGAATGTGTCAAATAGCTAGAGTTGCTACCCCAGCTACTGTAGGTAAATCTTTCACACATTGAGACCAAAGACTGGAAATGAAACAGCCTGACTTTTTTTTTTTTTTTTTTTTTTTTTTTTTAAAACACAACTAAAGCAAAAACACAGCTTGAAAGATTTGAAATGCCCACCGAGGAAACTGAGGGCAAACTTAAGCCATCAAAAATATAGACTGAGGTCTAATAATTACCTGAATAAATGTTATTGAGTCACAGTTACACGTACTGCTTGGGTACCTACAAAACATCTTAAAGCTGCTGCAGGAATTTTAGCAGTTACTGGAGTGCTAAGCAGTGATCACTTCAAATACAGAACCTCAGGCTTTCATTTGCACAGACTTACCTCAGGATTCAAGAGATGCGTATGAACAACAGCACGTTTAATATCATAGAGATCAGTGTAGTGTTCCAAAGCTCGCTGGAGCAAGCCTGCCTTTTCACATAACTGAGCAATATGAGCACGATCATAGTGTGTAAACATTTGGTTTCCAAGGATGGCATCTGCAACCTACGAGATTAGATTTTGTATGCAGACTGTTAGAAAACGACAACAGCTCAGACTAAAAGTTGTTGAAAGACATAGCAATGACTGACTCATAGTCTTTCATGTTGTAAACTATATATAGACATCAGATTGTTGTAAGAAGTGCAGATGCAGAATATCAGCACAAGCCTTCCAATTTTTCTCCTTCATTTTTTGGAGGAACTAGGTTAAGAGTCTTACCTGTGGGGCATGAATCAAATTCATTTCCAGCAGACGAGTCTGCAGGTGGCCTTCTGCTGGACGGTTATTTTTCAAAGCATCCAATAGGAAGGATGTGCATTGCTGAATAAGACTGTTCTCCATGAACACATCCACAATCTGTTGAGAATCATCAAGTTGAAAATATATATTTATATATACATATATATATACATATATATATATATAGACTCCCTTTTCTATATATGTACACATTTATATTTTTATCTGTACACATCTAATAGCTGTCTAGAAAGACAGCTCATTCCAGCACTTAATGTGCTATATTTACTTTTTTTTATCATAAGATGATAAAGATGACAAAAATTTCACACTTCCTTTTTCTCTAGAACTTGAGGTGTACACCACTTTGACCTATTATGCCAGACTTTGCCACCAACTATTTAGTTTTAACAAAGCAAGCAAAGCCCATCCCTTCTTTTCTGATAGGAAAGTTTCTGCAAGAAAAGTTAACACTTTTTCTAAATACTTCACTTATTTAATAAAGTAAGTTGTTGTCTAATGATTTAATCACAAGTGGCCTCTGTGAGCAAGTGCTCATTTATCTTCCTATAAATTCTCTGCTACCATAAGAGTTCACACGTGCTCTAAAGTCAGCAGGAGCTTTCTAAACTGACAGTAACATTCTTCATTGCATAGACTAAGACTGTGGCAGATTCAGGATCAAGATTACTGTAATAGAGCCAACTTGCACAAGAACACTTGCCTCTAATGGCAACCAAACTTGACTAGTTTAGTCCCTTTTCTAACCAAGCCAACTAAAGATCTGAACTGGCCTTACCAGTTCCCAAAGCGGTACTATGCTATTACCTCTGTCTAGAAAGAGACCAGTGCTCTTGTTGTAGGCATCACCTGGTTAATGTTAGCCAGTGGCTCCTCGTCCTGTACCAGCATCTGAGAGAACTGCAGGCCCTGCTCAGGACTGACTCTCATCACGCTTCTCAGCAAGAAGATCCAGTCTGGGGTATAGCCAACCTAGAGATGTCAGGAAGAGTCATGCATGTCTGGAAAGTTTTAAATATTTTAAGCCTTCTAAATCTGTAGTGTAAGTGCTATGAGCCACACTGAAGCTTGTAACACCCATTCTCCATCTTCTAGGAATTCTCAGACAAAAGCATTGTTTGTATGTTAACACAAATTCAGTATTTGCTTATTTAGCAACAGAACTTACTCTAGGGCAATTTTCTTGTTGACTCAGAAAATTACTAGAAACAAATCAAGAGTCTGAAGGCATTATCATACACAGTCCCAAATTTATAAGTGCATATCCCACAAACTACTTTGTAATTTGCAAAAAAAAAAAAAAAAAAAAAAACCTCTTCCTTAACGATTTAGGAAGAGTCATTTTTTATAAGCAGCTTGAGCCAGTTCATAATTTGATAGTATAAGAATTCTGGAGGTTCTAATTTCAACTTTCATAGACCATGTTATTAGACATTAATCACATACTATGAATTCTGCTGTTTCTTAGTCTTTGCTAGTTATCCTGTTTTGGAGTTAAAAAGAAAAAAAAAACAAACTCAAATTTCTCATGGAAGATAACTTGAGAACACATACACATTAAACATAAGATATAGTCCGGCAGCTTGTGATAAACAACTTTACCTTTTTGGCATACAGTACTATTTTCTGGAATTGACCAGTTTCAGCAAAGCACTGAATCACTTTGTTTGGCACATTAGCACGAAGGTAGACACTGAGTGCAAGGGTTGGGTCAGCTGTCTTCACCAAGTCTCCCAGCTCCTCTGAACACTCCAGCTGAAGAGAAGTGATATTTTGTCAAGCACAAGTATCCATATATGTAGCATGAGTGAAAGAGTTGTTCACACTCAACTGCTACAAGGCAGCCAAATTAAGTTAGCATCAAGATCAAGCCTACCTTGTCTTCCTTCAGCCATTTCTCCAGAAGCTGCTTGCGGCCTTGCTGCAGAACAGGGCGACAGAGCTCCAGAGACTCAAACTTGTTCAGCTGTCCTTGGTCAAGCAATATTCCAAAGTACTGGAGCAGTGGAGAGGCATGCCCTGGCTGAGCTGGTACACTCTGGAACTTCCTGATTGTATCACTGGTACGTAGAATTCCCTGTAGAGGCACACGATACAGAGAAGTAACATTTTATTTGTGAAAGCTGAATAGCGTTAGAGGAGAAAAAAAAAAAAAAAAAACAAAAACCAAAGCAGGTGTTAAGTTCAGCTACACACTGAAGAATTTACTCAATCTTTCAGGGTGGAGATTTTAATCAAACCTAAACCAAAAGATCTTCTAGAAAGAAGTCAGTGCCCACAGCAAGTCAAGTCTGTGTTGGAAAAGTATGGCAGATGCTCCCTGATGGTATACAGGAGAACATATTAGACAGAACAATGAAATGAACTACAGACAGCTTAGGTTAGTATTGAAGCATTTTAGCTCTTGAATGTCAAGTGCTGAAGTGCAAGTCAACTAAGCTAAGGCGGTCTAAATGGATTCTAACCTCTACCCTTAAATAACTCACCTTTGGTGCAGATGCAGCTACTTTAGCAGCATCTGCATAGCTTCCTTGAGCAAACAGTGTGTTAAACTTTCTGGCAAATAATTCCTCTGCACCAGCAAGATTACTACGTATAGCCATACGCAGACCCAAGTCAGGATTCTGGAGAACATTTGTGGCGTAGTTCACAATGTTGTCTTCTTCGACACATACAGAAAGCACCTGGAAAGGATAAAAGGCATATCTAAGACGTACTGCCCTTTCCAATACTACTGTATACAACATAACAACTGAATATCTATTCAGACTGTCAGCAAAGCAGCAGATTATCCAAAAGGAAAACAAGTCAGTTTCTCCTTTCAAGCAGTCTGTACTAGGAGAGGTTAAAAAATGGATAAAAATCAAGTAGTTACTCAATCCCTGCAACGAGGTTTTTTATATCAAGTCACTCATTAGGTTTACTTACATTCCATCACAGCCTTAGAAGACTTAAAAACACACTACTGGATTAGTTACCTGTCCTTTTTTGTTGACACCAATAATGCCTGAGGTAGGTTCATGAGAAGCTGTGACAAAAATAGTGTCGGCACTAATACGGTTCATGTAGATGCAAACTCCAGACTCCAAGTCATACATGTGAATATATCCATACTTTGTGATCAGGTAGATAACACCATGCTTAATTCCAATCTGTTAAAAGATAATCTTTTACTAGTATAGACTAACACAGCAACAGTTAAGACAACTTAAGACTAGGCCTTTAGCCTAGTCACAAGACAGTACTGCAATGACATGCCTTTGCACTAACACTAGGAACAAATACAGCTTCAGGCTTCTCTGTTACAAATTCAAAGCAATGAATGGCTCTGATAACCATTTAGAGCCATACCTCCACTGAACACATGCAGAAGGAAAACCAAGATTCATCTGCAACAAAGACCATACTGTTCTAATGAGTGAGGATGAGGGATATAATTTGGGCATAATTAGTATTCAGGTCAGATACACCAGTACAAGTTCATTTTCAGAAATCTTGTGTGATAATCCCACTCTTTTCCAGCAAGAACCAATCAAAGCACCAGCAGAACCTGAACCAGGCTCAGCTGCTGAGGGCTACTGTTTAGCTGTCAAGTCTCAAAGCCAAGGAAACTTTCAAGCCAATACTGTATTTAGACAGAAGTACTTCCACTTTGGAGCAAGACTTCAGAGCACACGAAGCCTGCCATGCACACAGTTTGTGTTGTTTACCTCAGTTCAATAAGTCTTATCTTTGTTTATTCACAAAGCTGGTATATTAGATTGGACAGCAGTTGCATGCTCCAAGATAGTTTGTTTTTCATATTCTAAGTTTGGTTAAAGAAACCATTCATGTTCTTTTCCTAAAAAAAAAATTCCTATTAATATCCTAAGGTATCTTCTTCTCTGTTGCTACTAGAGGAGGTAGACTAATATAGGGCTCTCCGCTCTGTTTGTCTCATGACATTAACTGCAGATGAAATGCCAAGCACTGTAACAATCATATTTAAAACCCTGACCATTAGTAGACAGTTCAATAGCCTGAAAAAAGCAGAATTATCCTGCTATCAACAAGCGTTATCAAATTAGACAAGAACTTACGAGTACTGCTGTTCTGACAGACTGCTTTCAATGCTTGGTATCTAGCTACTTTCGAACTGCTGTTATTAAGACAAAGCAAAAGCTCATCAAACTTTTTAGCTATTCAAAAGGAGTTCTGACCAACGTCAGAGACATTCTACCAGAAGACAAATAATTTTTTGTGGCTTTTTTTTTTTTTAATATAATCAAAGTTCACATACTTAGATAAATACAGCCTACATATTTGTGTGAGAGTTACTGTTTTACTGTCTAGCTTTCCATAAATCCGTTAATACCATTTCCAAAGTTCGGAAGAATAACAGCAAAGCAATTGTAGAAAGTGTGTTTGTTTTTTTAATGACAGATGCCTGCTACTTGCCAGCTATTACGCTGCTTTGTGTTTTTGGTCAAACATTTACCTGCATTGCCACAGGAAAGTCTGTCTGTGCCTCAGGTGGGAAAAACACATCAACAGCTTTCTTAACAAATGGCTGATTTCCAGTAGCTGGTTGACCCACTTCAATTATGTGAAGCTAAGAAGAAAGAGTACACGTCACAAGATCACCAGCAAATCCAGTCACATGAAAGAAGTTTCAAATCTTCAGATAAGCTGATGAAGTCATCTGTCACCCTTGGCCACTAAATATCTGTCCAATTCAGAAATACTCTGGAGAACTGTACTCCAGATTTTTATGAGAGAAAAAAGAATAAAGTTAACCAGAACTTAATGTAAATACCAGGAAAAGCTAAAGAATGTCTTCTATAAAAGCATAGTGTATATTTCTATTTCAAGGCACTCAACTTGTTCCAGATGTTTTGAGTGAGTTTGTCAATTTATCAACAATGTGTAAAATATAAGAATGAAAGAATAAAAAATTGTAATGTGACCTCTGCCCTTTACAGACTGCTAACAAACGTTGTAGGATATTGACCTGCTGTCGAGTCTCACTATCAGTTACATACAAACCTACCCAAGCTGCTAAGGCTTACCTAGTCTCTTCTAAACTTTAGACATAAATGGCTACTTTATGACTTGATTTCATTACACAAAACATAACGTGACCATAACTCAATGCTTTGATCTCAGTTCCTATTATATCTACATTGGTTCTTTTGCTTAAGCTTTACTAAAGGAATTCAGACTTTTAGCAGTTTCTATTATATTAAAATAAAGCATTTACATACCAACTGAATATATTGCATGTATGGTTCACAAGCTGTTCTTCAGTCAGCTGAATGTGATTGCTGAAGTTCTACTAGTAATGAGATGTGCTATAGCGGAACAAGAAAACAGATGCAAATTTTACCTTGCCTCCTGCAGGACTCCTCACAGCAAAACAAAAGAGGGTGGAAGGTTTGGCATTTCCATCTATTTTGAATTCTGCAAAAGCTGCTGCATGGCCCTCTATAGGTTGGGAGACTTTTCTATCAACAGAGTAGAGCTGCATTGCACCAACCACGCGATTTTGCTAGAGGAAAAAGGAAAAACATCAGCTTTTAGAGATAACATTTCAAATATTTATAGAACAAGACTTTAGGGACAGTCACTTAAAGAGAGACAACTGCCACTCATCCCCTCCACCAATGTTTTAATCATATTAAAGGTCAGGTTAGTCTTCCAAAATAGGAATTTTTGAAGCTTTGATCTACAGAAACTAAAGTTAAGAAATTACAGCAGCTATAAGCAAAGGAAAATGGAACAAAGCTCTCCTGACCATTTTCTTAGCATGATAATTCCAGGTAACTTACCTGCGCTGAAATTCCTATCAGTAACAGCCATTTTTTATGTTCATCGGTTCTGTAATTGATGATTTGGCAGCCTGCAAGACTAGCATGCCTGTCAAACATCTTTTGGGGCTGAGATTCTCCCTCCATGCTCCAGTGGTAGACTGCTGTCTCTGTCACCAAGGCAACTGTATTCACAGATATCCATTTCCAAAAGATCACCTCCTCTGCCATAGCGTGGGCTTTCATTTTACTTTTCATTTCAATGTTAAAAATCTGTAGCGTTTTTCCAGCTGGTATAACAAAACCCAAGAAACATCATTGATCAATTATTGTAATAACCATCCTGTAGTTCGCCTACTTACAATTCTGCTTAACCTGCTATTCTGGTGATCTTGCAGGCAGAGTTAGTACCATGTTACACCCAAGCGTACTTTGATACTAGACTTGTACCAAAACGGAAACCCTTCCCAACCTTTAACTTCCTCCAGCCACGAAGCAAAAGAGTCTTCATGGACACCTACACGACATTCCAACCAACAACTGACAAGCAAAAGCATTCTAACTACAAGGTGTAGTTAATAAACTATCTAAGCTATATATAATAAGTAATAAACTATAAGACATCTATATATGGATAGTTATAAGATATCTATAAGATAATAAACTATCTAACCTATATAATTTACTTGAGTAAATTCTGGTTTACGTAGGAGCACTGGGATATCAAATTATAGCTGTCTAATTGATGTAATTTAGTATAGTAGAAAGAATGGCTCCAGTTTGTGTCAATTTAGTAGCTTTTGTAGATCACCCAGACTGAAGCCAGCAGCAACAGACTTGCAACAGCCCTTGAAATAGCTAGACCACAGTTTTTGTGGGTGTTTTTTTTTTCTTTCTTTCTTTCCTGGAACCAAACAGGCTCTGCACTTAACTGGGAAATGGATGGGCTCTGTAAAACAGTAGCACAAACTACCCGCTGGAGAGGCTTTTAAAAAGGTCAGAAAGTTTATCAAAAGGCTTGGAGCTTTAGTTCTATAAAAGATTATTGTTTCACAATTTGGGTAACTATACTGAAACTTCAAGCTCAACTTCAGTGGTTCTCTGAATCACCAGAAGAAGCAAGGGTAGAATTACAACTAAAATAACTGAGCCAACCCTGAATCACCAGAAGAAGCAGCGGGTAGATTTACAACTTATATAACTGAGACAAATCCTTTTCAAAGAATAACGAATTCTATGTCTTGCAGGAAGTTGAAGTGTTATTTCACTTAACTTCAAATAAGAGAATTTAGCTCTAGGAAATACCATTTACTGTTCACAAGACACCCACTCAGACCACTAGAGTATTGGTTTGTATTTCCTTTACTTGCATATTTCTGAAATGTCCTTTCAGGGTAAAGAACTGCCTGATGGTCAGATGCAGAGAGTGGTGGTAAATAGAGTCACATTCAGCCAGTGGCCAGTCACAATTCGTGTTCGCCCAGGGTCAGTACCGGGGCCTGTCCCGATCAAAATCTTTATTGATGTCTTGGATGAGGGCATAGAGCGTACCCTAAGTTCACAGATGGCACCAAGTTGGGAAGAAGTGTCAACCTGCCTGGGAGTTGGAAGGCCCTACAGAGGGATGTGGACAGGCTGGATAGCTGGGCTGAGGCCAAAGGAATGAACTTCAACAAGACCAAATGCTGACAACACAGCATGGGCAAGTGACTGAGTCTTCTGTGAACTTGACTGCTTTTTCAGGCCAAAACCTGAGACAAAGAGCCAGACTTCCATGGGTTTTCCTTATCAAGACACCAGACTGATTGGTATATTTAAGATAATTCTCTGCAGATGTAGTCAAGGAAGCTGGGGTTTTTGATTGCTGCACACTGGCACAAGAATTTACATTTCAGTTCACCAGAACATTAAGTTTCTCCATTCTGTAAAGAATGGAAGAATGCCTTGAGTACTGCATCCTCCACTTGTAACAACTGGAGACTACTTTCAGTGCAAAGCAAAGCAACGCAACAGAACCTTGGAACAAGGATAACGCATGAAGCTTGGTAATGCCAGGAGAACGCCACATGCAATCCAGAAATTAAACAGTTCTTGAGTTAAAATGAGTATGCACTGTTTCATTCATTGTTTGAACAGGATTGTATGTTAATTGCTCAGTAATTCTTGCATAATGAGCAGCTCCCGGTCACAGTACACTCAGTCACAACACACAACAGTTTTAACTAGTGATGCCTCAGCTACTGATGCCTGTCAGTCAGCAGGGAAAGTCTGTTGTGACAGGCTAACTTCAACCATGTCTTTGGTGCAGTTTACTGTAATTCTACCAGTTATCTTGAACAATAGCATGTGGGCTAGGTGGCTCTATTAGTTCTCTTTTCTCCTTTAATCTTTGGCTACTAGACATGATATAAGAAAAGCTCTAAGTTTGCAATACCTGGCAATTTTGCAAGTCCATGTGACATCACACAAATAACTTTTTTCAGAGGACAAGTTTACTCACTCTGCACGGACAGGATGATACTTTTCAGCAAGTCTAACACTGGCAAGAAAAGTGATATTGTTACAATCTGATGATAATCTGTTCAGTTAGCATGAATAGGTGAGTTTTAAAAACAGATGATCCTGTTTCCTTAAGAGCTAGATTAAGTTCTGCTAGTACAAAAAAGGCGCTTTCCCTGCCAATAAGGTTTGTTAAAAGAGGTCTGAAGTTAAGGATAGTGAAATCAAATAAATCTGAAATAAATCTGTTCATTGTTGACTTAAATCATATCCCAAGTAATGCAGTCCTTTGCAAGATGTAAAAGCATCTCAACTAAACCACAATTACAGCTCAAGTCAAATGTTAACACATCAGTTCTCACCTAATGTCAGTGTAAGTCCAATATTATAGACAGCAAGATACACATTTTGTGTCAGTTTGAGGAATGTTATTTCTTAGACCCCTACAGAAATTCATCACAGATTTTCACACTGGATATCACATTTAGGAAGAAATGAACAGCACACAGGACCTGCTAACAGAAGTCTCTCGAAAGTACTGCACGTGGTTTTGCCTATCAACTGTACTTCCATTATATATATTCACACACACAGAACACTCTTCTCCTCCACTTGGTACAGTCAATAGTCAAAACAGACAAATGAAGACTAAGATCCTCTATATGGCTATGAAGTGAACTGTCAAATGGCTGTCTCAAAGTTCAGTACTTTTTATGAGATTAGACCAGTCTGTAGTACTAAACACGAAATAAAGTTCACTCGCCATCTGTTTACATAAGATGCAAGAAGAAAATACATAGCCAGTGACAAGTAGTTATTGAAGCTAAGTACTAGAAATTACTCATCTAAGAAAAGAAATATAGTAAAAAAATATTTGGGGGGAGCACTCAGACCTAGAAACAAAATAAACACCACATGTGAGGTCTTCCATCTGTAGGTTCTCAAGGTTATCAAACTAAACAAATTCACGCATTCAGACTTTCATGCTGTCTCATGTAGTTACTGGCCAGCCTTATAACAATTTGTTTGTATCCAGCAAGCACTTACAGCAAAGGTAAGTACAGAGCAGAGGGCACGAGCAGTTTTAGTCTTTCCCCACTCATCCCTACAAGTGTCCATTATTCTCTGAACATCCACTTGTACTCAGCGAAAACATCAGGCAGCAGTGCCAAGCATCCTAGTGGTAGGCAAACCACCCAAACATTACTGAAATATTCACAACCAAGATCTAGCAGGCAAGATATTATTTTACTGTACTTTCTTCGTATAAACCTTACACAGCTTTTATGCTCCAGAGCTTACATGAGCAATAATGAAGCTAAATAGTAGGTTTCATATTACAAGAATAAAGGGTTACTCACCTTTTAGTGCAATTACTTTAGAGGCTGGATTCATGATGGCACTTTCAGCAGAAATTGGACGTCTGATAGGTGATGTTGGATCACTCATGTCAATTATTACTACTTGTGCCTGCTCTCCCACTTTCTCCCTGATGCAAATGAACTTGTCGGATTCCATTGTTAGGGTGCTGAATCCAATGTTTGCTGGGTTAATGCCCAAATTTTGGAGCTAGAAAGAGGGAACGGTCCTTTAATATTCTTATCATGAAGATTTATCTGTCTAACTTAAGTTCCTGTACATAAGATCCCCTCCTGCTATCTCACCTGATCCCTTGTTTCAGTTGCTCGCATCATACGTAGAGACAGACTTATTTTCTTCTCCCTCTAGAAGGGATCGATATTGCAGAATTCCCATAATATTTAAGGAAGGCATCAGTAGTTCAATTACCAGTCTAAGACAGACTGTTACATTGATCTGAACATACTCAGGAACTGCTAAGTACTGAATTAGTACCACTTCAGGGGTTTTACTTCAGCTTCTCTGCTCAAACAGATACTGTAACAAGCACACCAAGGTAAGGTTGTAATGCTGAGTTCCTTCCCAAGGAATGGCCTGAAGACATCAGAAACACCGACTGCAACATCTACAGCATTTATAATACAATTAAAGAAGCAGTCTTAAGTCCTTTAACCTCCCTCCCAACTGTCAACTCCACATCATCTCTTTAGGAAAAGGAAAGCTGAGAGAGCAATAGATAGATGAAAAGCATACTTCATTCCAGGGCCTGTCCTTCACTGCAGAGACCACACCACGTCTACCTTGGCAAATCTAGACCACCAGGTTCTATCTTCACAGTACTGCCAGGACTAAAAATTAGGATGTAAGCCAACTCTTATTTTCATCTGCAGACAAAGTGCATGATTAGCAATGCCTTCTTTCTATCCATCTTTAAAAGCCAGACCAGTTATCCTCAGGGTACCCTAAGCCCTGACTGGAAAGACTCGGATGGGGAGCAGAATAAAAACGCCCTGACTCAGGTGGAAACTGTTAGAGACCTGCTGCTCCACCTGGGCTGCAACAAGTCCATGAGGCCAGATGGGATCCACCTGAGGGTGCTGAAGGAGCTGGCAGAGGCGACAGCCAAGCCACCAACCATGGAGGTGCTCAAGAAACATTTAGATGTTGTACTGAGGGACATGGTTTACTGGGAAATATTGACAATACATTGACAGTTGAACAGGATAATCTCAGAGGTCTTTTCCAACCTTGGTGACTCTGTGATTAGCAGGTCCAGGCATCCCCAGTTCAGTTTAGAATATCTCAGACACATCTTTCCTCCTTTCCTTTGAGTATAGCACCAAGTACTTTCCTTGAAGCACACAATAACCTGAATGCATTGGAATTGCAGTCATAGCTTGTGCTTATACAGCATTTATGCTACCTTTTTTTTACCTGGTAACAGCTACCATGGCTTGTTAAAATATACCTTCTGTTACATCAACCAAAATGTGAATGCTACCGTAGTGATATTTGCTAATTTAGGTTTCAGATAAACCTCTAGACATAGTCAATACAACAATAGGAATGTTGTATGTGTTGTATGCTGTAATCCTATGTTACAATCATACCAAATCCAAATGTTTTTGTTTGGGTTTTTGTGTGTGTGTTTTGTTTGCTGCTGCCCTTGGGTGTTTTTGTTTGTTTAGGTTTTTTTGTTTGTTTAATTTGCAGCTACTTCCTGCTATCCAGCCTCTTCCTTCTTCTCCCAAAGAAACCAGCACTGAAGCCTCCAGGTTATTTAATAGCTTTAGTAGAAATGCTGGGTGACTGCAAAAATAATGCAGTTCAGCACTATTTTCAATGGCCTAATTTTGTAAGTGGACTTGTTCATCTCACTCCTCTGAACTTACTCTTACTATTGCAAGCTAAGAAAAGTGCTTAAATAACCACTTATTCCATCTTTCTCTGCCTAAGTAGTCACATCACTTAGATTAACAGCACGAGCAGGGATTTCAATGTAGATGCCTCCTCACCACTTACGGTCAATCACCTGAGTTCAAGCACATGACAAACTAGCTATTCTTAAAGCAACTTCAAGTCATTCTGTATCTCTGAGTAGATGCCTAGATTTCTCACTTTCACTCATCTTCATTAGCTTTGTCTCCATCCGTTTCCAGTGTCAGATTAGTCAGAAGAGGCAGCAGTGAAGGTGGATCAGTGTTTCAACTAGTCTGTAATATCTCAGATTTAGCAGTGCCTAATGCAGCAACTTGGTATGGTCATAAGCTACATTTCATGCAACAGTAACTGTGACAAGCCCAAGGACCTGCTTCATGCCCCAGAGCACAGATTTTCAAGCAAAGGAACAGCAGTATCAGTTTTACCGAAGCTTCTTAAGAGATTAACCCCATCCTACAGTCCAAACTCCGGCCTGCACCACCATGGCAGCAGCTACTCCCTGCTGAACAGCCTGGCCCTGCCCCAGGCACACACCCATCTCTCAGCAGCAGCCAAACATCAGAGTGCAACAGGCACTGTCCAGGCCATAGGGAGGACGCAGTGTAGTGCTAACTCAACTTGTGGCAAATAACTTTGTATTTTGATACATCAGCTAAACACAGTCCTGGGAAAAGTGAAAAATATGCAAAAAAAAATTGCTTTCTGTTTTGATACAGACATTTGGGAACAGTTTTCAAGAGGGCTGCTCCAAAAGTAATGCCTCCTATTTTATTATATTGGCCCACAACATTAGAGGGAGACATTGGTGCCATGGTAGTAGAGTTTGAATCTTCCTGCCAATATTCCATTACATTTCATTGCTGGGCGACAGATGGCAGCAGAAGGGCAATCTCACAAAATGGTGTCTGACATGGAAGTGCGTATGAAGCAAAGTTGAGGAATTCAAGTCCTCTAGGGAAGAAAAAACACCACCCAGTGAAGCATTAATCAATGCTTCCTGAACATTTATCGAGATCAGTTTATGTGAGCACAGTGTGGGAGTGGGTGGTGCATTTCAGCAGTGACAACAGCAGCAGTGGTTCAAACCCACAGGTGCGGACTTTCACAAACATAGCATGCAAGCTCTTCATCACTGGCAAAGATGCACAGCTACTGGTTTTGATTTTGTTGAAAACAGGTGTTCTGTAGTTCCAAATTTGCTCTCCCAAACACTGTTACTATGCTCACTGAATCTCTTGTAGTTTTCATGGACTTCAGGACCAACCTAGTGTCACAAGCTGTTCAGTATGTTCTGATCTGGCTGATTGTTTCAGGGTACATTTGAATCTGAGACAGGATGTCTCAGCAGCAGAGGCAAGCAAACTATGCACTCAGAGCAGCACAGAGGGTTACAAGTTTTAGTCAACATATACACATATACACACACAGGCATTCATTTTTAGATAATCCTTGCAAGCAAGAAGCAGAACCTCCCTAAGCAAGTGCACTATTACTTTCTGACCCTTGAGAGACAGCAAACCACCAAAAGGAGAGAGAAAGACTATGCTGGCAGTGCACTCTGTAGGCAGCACCAGCTGGGCATCCCCTGCTTCAAAGGGCACTTTGCCTTTCACCCCCTCTGCAATCGCTCTCCTGCTTTGATTTCCCCAGGGTCTTCAAGGTTTGTTCCATTGCATGCTGTGCCCATGCAGCCAACACATAATACAGAGCCCAAGAGGAACAACTGTTTGCAAAACAAGCCTTTGCATAAACAAGATAAACTACCAAGGTCGGCTCTATCTACAAAACAAGATACTTGCAGTTACAGCTACAAATATCAGTTCCCTTAAAACAGAACGCTGTTTCATCCCAGGATCATTCTTCAGTCAGAGGCTGTTAGGTCCCCAACACACTGACCATGGCTTGCTGCAGCTTATGTAAAGCTACTAACCCATAAATTGGGTACGTAACTGAGATAATGCAGCACTGCATTGGAGCCATACCCAAGAAAAATCTCAGGAATAGTTTTCAGCTTACTAAAGAAGAGTTATTCAGCTTAGTAGTTGCTAATCTTGACATACATAAGCTTCAGAAATGCAATACAAGCTAAATGTATGCATGTGTAAGATGATATCTGAAGAAGGAACAAATACATCAGCACAATAATCAAGACCCATTCAGCTGTATCCTCAGTTTATAGATACATACTTCTATACAAGCTAGTAAACAGAAGTAGGTGCCATTCATGCCAAAAGGTTATCAAAGTTTAGACACTAAAGTATCAGAAGCAACTTGTAACTAGAGCTTCAAGAACTGTCCAGAGAGCATGTAGCTATTACAGGCTTCTGTATCAATAAGGTAAAATGTCTCCACATTAAGAAGATTCATGCAATAGGAAAGTTTGTTACTCAATAAACGCTCAAGCAGTAGCCAAGTCATCTATGACCATGAACAAGGAGGATAAACCATAGTCCCTTAGATTCAGTGCTCCTGATTATATGCTCTAGACTTGAAAACATCCACTCACTGAAAATTACGCATTCACGCTTTGGTGTTGGGCATGAAATCAGTTCATCTGCCAAAATATAACCCGTTATGAAAGACGATAAAGTGAAGCATCACAAGTGATTTAACCATAGGATAGCCAAGCTTGTCTTGCTTTAATTAGCCCTAACTCAGAGCACTGAAGTAGCACACAGCCTCTCCAATGCCTCCTCTCAGATACTGTGCTACAGCTTGACGTCCTCTTCATGACAGCCACTTGACACTCTGTACAGCGAGAATCTTGAGGTATTAGTCTAGTTCAAGTTCAGCTTTTAAGCCCAAACTTACCCCTTGCAAAACCTGGTCCCTACTGAAGAACCATAATGCTTTAAGTATCTTTACAAAGAAATAAGTTTTTGCCTCAAATTCTGGCATAACTTCCCGTTCTAACTGCCATAACATCTACAGAAAGTTTCAGAAATTAACTATACATGGTGCGTAACTATTGCTGCCATCCTCTCATTAGGCTAGCAAGTAAACTTCTTAAGGCAAAAATATTACTATTTCCTAAAGGATGGTCATGTAATTACTGCCTCAGTTAATAAAAAAAAAAAAAAAAAAAAAGCTTCTTATTTTTGCAATTTGAAAGCACTGAAGATTTACTTCCATCAGTGCAACAGTAAGCACCCATATTAGAGGGCAGTGCTGCATGAAACTGTTCAACAAGCATGTTCCTTATGACTACACATAAGAACAGGAGCAGATACTCTTTACAACCATAAGAAACAAATATTTAGCCAGCACTGCTTCTTTCACTGTAAGTCTGAATGACCCAGATAACTCATCTAATATTACTATAGACTAGATTAGATCATTGCCTATCAAACAATTTTAAGAATGTTAAGATACTGATAACCCCTGTAATGATAAAAAAAAAAAAATTAGCCAGAGATATATTATTTAAATGCCACAAGTAGGATAAAATGTGACTATTCACCTGAAATTTAATAATTTTTTTCCCCTTCCAGTTTACTGATGCTTGTAATACGAGAATTTTAATAAGCATTGGGCTTTCTAGTGCTACTCTCTTTCTGCAGAAAAACAGTGATCTAGACCGAACCAGCAACAACCAACTCAGACATTGACACAGTCTTCAAGCTAAACCCCTCTCTCTAGTGGTAAGTTCTTCAGACCAACCTACTGTCTGCCTAGTACTATCTCCAAATGCTTGGGACATACCATCAGCTAAATGCCGGAGCTCACATAACTTAATGGGGTTCAGAAAATATCCCACTTCAGTTTAGTTCCACTCAGCTCTAACAGAAACACTTTTCAGAGGTTTCAATTAACAGTTGCTTCAATCCCACTACAGAAGAGTAAGACGTGGACAGAGGCTATGGGTATCTAAATATTAAGCACTAGCAGCTCTGTAAGAACATATCATCTAAAGTACAATACAAACTAAGAACACGGTAGTAATTTCTCAGGGCACTTACGTAGCTTGTGTAGTTATATAAAGTTAAAACATGCCCAGTAAGGAACTGTATATAGCCATCGGACATCCTGTCCCCACTGCCAGCCCCCCTGTTGTTGCTCCCCATCTTGGTAGGCAAGGGACATCAAGGAAGCAAAGTCAGCTGAAACATGCAAGACCGCAGGATCACAGTGTTTAGTTATAGCTGCAATTACACTTTTCTCTTAAAAACAAAGAAAAGTCACTCCCTATACAAACCCATTCCTGTATGTCAATGATGGTGATTAGATCATCTGCTCAAAGAGTCTCTACACACACAGGGTACTTCCCAACCCTTTGGGCAAATACGGTCTCCTCAACACTACATAGCTGAGTCACCACAATATTTAGCTCTACCTTCTGAATACAAGTCCAAGAAGTTATTTTCAGCTGGAATCATCCTGAATGCTTTTACATTCACATATGTCTAGCCAAAGCAAACTTTGGAAATCCATTACAGCTCAGCTTAATCATGCCTATTGCCTCAGGCAATTTCATGCCCACAATAGACAGTAATCCTTAAGAGGAGATCTCAGACTAATCAAAAGAAAGTGGTTTTGCCCATGAAGTGACAGAAGTAAATCTATATCACTTTAAGACCAGATTTTAGCTTCTCAGTACCAAACTAAAATGTATAGAATTTATACATAAAGGAGACAAAACATGCACACAGGTTTTTTCAGCTGTTTGTGCTTAAGAGTTTGTATTAGCTACTCCAGAGAAAGCAGAAACCTGCCTATTGATCACTGTGCCTGTCCATTTACAGGACAAAGAGCCAAGAAATCCAAGACTTTGCATAACTGCTGTTTTCTCTACAGGGCTAGCTGAGATTTTTAATAGTGAGAGATAAAAAATAAAAAAAATTAAAAAAATAAAGGATGAAATTAAGCTTTTAAGAACAAGCCTATGATTAAGTAAAGGAAAGTTCGACTTCAGACCTAGAACATTTTGTTCACTGAATTCCAGTAATGTCAGTCCCACTCTGTTTGTATTTAGTCTTTTATGGCATTCCCATTCATAGAATCATAGAATTGAGGTTTGGAAAAGACCTTAGAAATCATCAAGCCCAATGGCAAACCAAACACATGGTAAACTGCAATCCAGTAAATAATTTATAATCCACAGCTCCAACAGAAGCACTGGAATTAAGAATCCAATTATATCCTAATAGTACATCCCAGCAGTTCCTCATTACAGCAGGGCTGCAGTAGTCTATACTTCTGTTACAGCTGATCAGCTACTAGCTTATTGCCAATCCTTGCTGTAGGACTTAAACTATTATATTCTCTGAGGGAAGAATAAGCAAGTTCTTTGGGGAACTGTGAACAGTTTACAACTAAAAACAGTATCGTAATTGCGTTATGTGGACCTAAACAGTAAGACTTGAGGCAGCATTAAGCTGATCAATTTCTGTATCTCTTACAGTAGCTACTGTCTCCTCATAAGTTCATACCAGGGTTGAAGGTGCAAGCTGTAACAACTTCTAATTTCACACACACTGTGACTAGCGTACATTCCTCCTGCACAGCCCTGGAGGTACAGTTCAGTTAGAAAAACTATCAACATAAAACAAGCTGCATGAGGAATGTAAGCAGTCTACCTAATACTCCTTCAATTTTATGTGAACCAAGATCACAGTTTTTTTTCCCCACACTTGTTCATCCAGGTAGAGGCTGGGAGAGTTCAGTACTTAGCACCACCACTTGTTTAGCTTCCCCAAAGACCACTTCCTGCGTACTTCATTTCTCCTTTTAGCTGAGTATAGAGAAGACTTAGTATAAGGGAAATAAGGTTCCATCAGCACCAGGCTGAATTTGAAATTGAGTAACCAGCTACTCTAGCTACTTACAAACATACTAATTAAAATATCTACAGATAAGCAGTACAGTTTGAATTGAGATGCAGAACAAATCAATATAGAATTACTGATACACAGCAGTTGTAAGAAACTGTTTCTGATTTAACATCATAAAGCAGTGTAGTAGATCTGTCATACTACTCATTTCAAACATGGCAATTTAACTGTAGCCAAACCTATTCCTTGGAAGAAATCCGAGAAGAAAAAAAAAAATTAAGCTGGATGATAATGAAGCATTATGAACAGGAGTGAAGGCCTACTCTTGTCGTAAGAAAACTCCCTACTGGCCAACAAGGAGCAAGGAGCTAACGCATCTAGAGTAGACACATATAATGTAAGATAGAGTTGATAAAACCATACTTCATATATCCAGCCAAAACAAACACGACCAGCTCCCACACGTCTTCCGATTCTCCCCATTACACTTGTCATGTAAAAACAGGTGCTGAAGTAACACTAAGGAGACTGATGAATTCCTGTCCCAGTCACTAATCTTAGTTTCCTAGTGTGGAACACTGCTTTGGAGCCACTGCTCTCAGACTGACGGAGCGGAAGTGGAGTGGGGAGGCGTGAGCCCCACAGAACAATCCAGTTCAACACATCAGTGGCATGGTCCTAAGGTTTCCCACACTCCCCTGTACAGTCCGCTCCAGCACAGGCTCAGTCCTCCCAGTAATATCATAACATTTAGGAGCAAAAGCAGGTGGTGGCAAAAAATAGCATGTGACTTCAGTAGGACTCCCTGGGGAAGTTACTAGCCCCAGACTCAAACCAGAAGTGCTCTAATGCTCACACAGACAGTGTCGTAAGACAGAACTTAGCCCTCAGAAACAGTCATGTAACATGCAAAGCAGGACACTACACCTATAACATCAACCATAACATCCACTTATCACTGCACAGCCAAAAACAACCAGCAGGATCAGTGACACCTGCTAGCTTTAAGTTGTGAGAACCAAATGCTTCTTCCTAAGGTGAGCCTGACATTAAAAATACCTTGAATCTTCACTTTCTTACTCAGACAGCTGCCCTTTACCATGAATTAATTGTATGACAGCAATCGCTACTATCCTGTAGGGTTAAGGGGGGAGGAGGAGTAATTCTTCACTATATTAAACTCTCAGCTCCAGTGAGTAGGCAGGTGTGTGCTCACGCTGGCACAGAGCAGATATTTCTGGAACTCATTGCCCAATCATTTTTTCCAGCCTTGGTCTCCTCCCAGAATGACCAAGGCAGTTCTCACAGTCACCCGAAATCCCTCCCCAAAAAGGAACTGCAGTAGTACCAAGTCTCCCAGAGGATGGGTCTACAGTTCATTTTTGAGATGAAAGACTGATTTGACAGAAGAAGGCTGGGCAGAGACAGCAGGATGACTTGCCAACTCCACTTCCTGTTCCCTCATTCATTTAGAGAATTCCTTTAATTCCTTCCTGCCTTACACTGCATGCTTGCTGCCTGTTGTTCTCCCACTCTGTTTCTAACCCTTCTTTAGCACCAAGTTAAGAAAGGAACAGAGAAACCGGCTTGGCTGCACGGCACCCATTAGAGATGGACCTCTTCCAGCACTGATGCTACTCGTAGGCCATCAGAACTGCGCCGTTGTGAAGAAGGGCTTTCTTTCTTTTCTATATCGTTGTGTTTGGGAGGGAGGCAGAGGCCCTCGGGCCCTCGACCCCCAACCCGCAGCCACACGGCTCCCCGAAACCCGGAGGCTGAAGGTCGCTGTGAGGAAGAGTAAAGCCCCGCGCACCCCGAGAGGCGACGGCTCCCTCAGAAGCGTGGGGAGCCACTCTCCCTTCTCGGAGCGGCCCCGAGTGACTCTGCACAAATCGCGCCCGGCGGTGGATGGGGGCGCTGCGCCCCGCGGTCCGCACCGCACGCTCCCCTCACCCCGGACTAGGCCGCGGCCGCCCCTCTCCGAGGTGCACGGGGAGACAGACGGGAACAGCCCCCACCCTGTGTTCCCCGTTCCCTTGAGCTCACCTGGAAGTGCTCCTGGAAGCGAATAGGCAGGATCTGGGCCATGGCTAGGGGAAAACTCTCCGGGGATGGGTGCGAGGAACAAGAGATGGAAATAAAGCGGATAAGGGGGCACAGCTGCACCCCGCACAAGGCGAGAAGAAGCGCAGGGGGACAGAGCTGGGAAGGGGAGGGGAAGAAATGGAAACGAAGGGCGACGCAGGCGCAGTATCCTCACAGAGAGTGCGCCCCGCTGCCCTTTTCTGCCTCGTGGGGCCGCTCACTCCGAAGGTGGGATCACTCCGCTCCTCGCAAGCTCCGCCAGGGTCTTCTCAAATAGTCCCGTGCCGCCGCGCCTTCCCTCCCGTTTCTCACCTCCTCGTCTCCCGCCTGTATCTCAGACCGTCACCGCCTTTCCATCCCACATGGCTCCCGCTGAGCAGTGGGGAAACGACTGCCAGGACAGGGGGCTCCTCCGTTCCGGATCGTCAAAGTGCGATATTCTTCCGCAGCGCCCCGAGACCCAGCCCACTCCCCGGCTCCATAAGGCGGAAGCGGGCGGGGATGTGTTCCACTGACTCCTTGCTCCGCCGGTGGTGCGGAGGCTGCCCTTCGAGGCAGGGTCCGATAGCGGTGTTGCTCTGCCCTCAGCGCTACCCGCCACCGCTGACCAAAAGGGAGAGGGGCTGACAGGAGCTGAAGGACGGCTATCGGGTGTTGTGGAGCCCCCGCCGTTGAGCTTTGAAGTGGAAACACAGATCTTTCCACGAGATGACATCGTGAATTGGAAAGTTGTTGAGTAACTGAGGAGTGAGGGGTCCGATGCAAGCCATAAATCAGAGCTTTCTGTTATTTTAAAACCTTGATCTCCATTGACCACCCATCAAATGGGGGACGCCCCGCGCAGCCTAAAGGAGAACCTGGAGGGCTGCAGGTGCTGGGGAACCATGAGTAGAAGGCACAGGGGCAGAGGTGCCTCTGAAGGAAGAATTAGGAAATACTTCTCAGAAGGAGTGATAATGTGTTGGAACTGGCTGCCCAGGGAGGTGTTAGAGTCACCATCCCTGGAAGATGTTCAAGAAACATGGAGGTGTAGCACTGAGAGATGTAGCTCAGTGTGTGCGGTTTGACAGTTGGACACAATGACCTTAGGGGTCTTTTCCAACCTCAATAGCTCTGTGGTTCTGTACAGCCAAATCCCTCAGGAAGTCCACTTTCTACGTCCCTCGCTGGTGGTAGGCACCGAGGAAAAATCGAGCCAAGGCGCAGACGGGGTTTTTTGCTTTATAAAGTCACACAGCTGAGTTGCCTTCACCTGTGCTCACAGGGCTGAGCTGGTCCTTTCCCCAGGTGCTCAGTCAGTGGTTCAGACCCGGACTCAACAATTCCCATCCACATGCCCACTGGCCAAATCCTGCTAATTACAGCATCCCATCCTTTTCATGATAAAAAAAAAGAAATGGCATCTTACTTTGTATATACGTTTTTGGCACTCTATTGTCCACTCATGTTTTCCTCCTAATTTTTGCTTTTCCATCCAGTTCTGTGTTTAAAGAACTGTTCTTTTAACGTCTTGCTTTGCTGAGCATATAGGTTGGCTTGTTTGAAGCCTGATCAGCTCTGAAACATTGATAGTGTTTGAAGTTTTGTGGTTTTCACCCATCATTGTGCACATTCCTGGCACCAGGTTGGTGAAAACAGTAAATACAGCATTTTTCAAAAAATAATCTGAAAGTTTTCATATATATATAATATATATATTATATATATATATAATTGCTGCAGCACTGTTTAATAGCTGAATGTTTCATGCTTAAATTCCTTCTAGTTTATTCTCCAGCAGAGACATGAGTTTTTACACACATAGCATTGAAAGGAAATCTTTTATGGTGGATTTACTACAGACACTTTCTTCATGAATTTATAGGCTGGTATGTGAAGTCCCATCCTGTATTCCCTACGCATGGAAAGCTAAGCTGGAGATGATAAATTCTAATGGTATTTTATGTAAAAATGAATAGAAGTGTTGAGGGGTAATAGCAATGCAGGCTGGGGGTCTTCAGATTCCCCACAGAGCTAAAGCCATGATGGTAATTCACTTGTGACTTGCAAGCAGTACACCTGTCTTTCCTCCAAGGAATGTTTTCATTTAAAGAAGCCATTTCTGTCTCTCTCTGCATAGAGCAGTGACATTTATGCTCCCTTTGTCTCAACATCATCATTTGGTTCTTCTCTGGACATTTGCATTCTCCAGGTTTGCAATGCAGATGCTGAATTGCTTGCATGGTAATGTATCGGGCAATTGAAATTGCAACTTCTTCATCTTAGCCTTGTAAAAACAGAGGTCTATTGGTCAGTGATACAAAGCAGAAGAAAGGGTGTGAGAATCAACACCTGTCTTCAAAATCGAGACAGAGGGATCAGGGCTGCTTGCTGCACAAAACTTTTTTGAAGCTGAATTACTTTAGAGAATTTTCTCAGGCAATACATCCATGAAACGGACAGAGATTATCTGTTCTTAGAAAATACAACCAGTGAAAAGAAAGGTGGTAACTAACATCAATCAAATGCGCTTCTATCACTAATTTCACTAGTTCTGGAATGACAGAAACCTGACTGTACCTACAAGTAGACAAAATAGAATCTTAGCCTAAATGGGCTTAAATGCCATTCAGCAGAATAACTACTCAGCATGCATAAATAGACTATTGGAATAAAAGGCTGGAAATGGTCTAAAGAGGTCTTTGGTTATTACCTCTGCCCTACAGCAAGATTTAGTGAACCAATGTTTTCCAATCACAGATTAATAAAGTGAATTAGGAAATACTGACTATAATGACTGCTACGGCCTTTCAGCAATTTACTTCAAAATAGACCCTTGACAAGGAAACTTTAGTGTTCATTTTCTTAACATAATTCTATTTTCCAGGAAACAGAATAAAGCCAAGAAAAGCATAAACCTAATTATATTTGATAGCAGTAAAACATGCAGATGGTAAACAGACTTTTCATTTTCTGTAGGGCCGTTACAATATTCATCCTCTTCAATTAATCCTGGAAAGAAACATTTGCTAAAAACATGAGCTATGAATTCTCCCTCGCCTCCAGGAGCAGACAAGTCGTTTATGGTTATGCTTCCACTATGTTTTCCGGTTTGCTCTTTTACATCATAACAAGATTCCAGACCACTGGCCAAATTCAGCCATGTGATGGAGAGGAATAGACTCAAAGACAATAGATTTCTGCAAGTGTCATGAGAATAGGCAGCCAAAGAATGGAGACTTTTAATTAGACAGACTAACTGGTAAATCTGTGAAAAAAAATGAACCCAAATCATGGAAAAATAAAATCTTTGATCAATGCTTGCACCCTTTTGCATTAATTTTATTATTAAGGAAATGCTTTTTCCACTTTATGCCCAAATTCCTGCTTTTGTAGAAACCTGTACGCTTTTCTGCATTAACTTTAGAGACAAATAGGTTCAGAAATCCTCAGCCTCCTCCTGAAAACAGCATTATTTTTCTCAAGTTTACCCTCTTCAAAAACAGGCTCTTAGTAGACTGTGTAATGCTATCTTAGGTAACAGAGCACCCACCTACTTTTCTTTTTACCTCTCCCATTACATTGTAGGATTACAGAAAACTGAAGATGAAATCACTGGTTTTCTTACTCTCATCTTTCTCAGTTGAGAGTTGTTTGTGAAACAGGTTTCAGTAGGAGTTCTCCACACTTCGTAGTTCTTTGTGATACATGCAACCTAAAAGTAACAGACTGGCTTCTCTGGAACTCCAGTCTTAAGTAATATTTTCAAGACACCAACACAGATGTTTCCCAGAGAGGTTCAGCAGCCATACACATCGCTACCTTCCAGATGTTTGAGATTACAACATAGAATAAAGTGTAGGATTTACACAGATTTACACAAAGTCATCAGAACAGTATGTCTAAACCACCTTTAAAAATATTCCTACCAGAGCTAACAGAAGCAATATGTGAGCATGTCTTGCTAACTGCCATTAGAATGAATTTAGATGACGCAGCGATTAAGATAGCTGTGCCCCTTTATGCCAGTGCTTCCAGTGTAACTGATACTTCTTGCGTCAGGCATATTAAGCAAAGGGAAAAAGCTCTTATGCAGAGGCAGCCTTAACAAATAAGAAAGGGAATTTGTAATCCTGTCTTTTTAGAGTATAGTTAATCTTCTAAGAGATGCACATCTTTTAAGAAGATCTGCCCACATTACCAAAAAAAAAAAAAAAAAAAGGTGTTTGGTACTCTTGCTTTTTCTATAAGCCTACAAGATATCTACAACAGCAAATTGTAGGACATCTACAAAAGCAATATCAATTTCAGCAAAATATGCTATGCCACATATGTATCTTTAGAAAATGAAAAGAAAAAAAAGGAAAGGTGAAAACATAGAAAGTACTAATTGAAATATGTATTTAGTATTTTGTTGCCATAATTTGCAGATGTTTGGTGTTCATCATAGAGTAATATGACTAGATGAAGCATTAATTTCAAAAGAATGTGTGAAGGTCCAGATAAGTAGTGGCTTTTATTTGTCACCCTCATTCTGCACCAAGAAATACTGCACCCAGGAAGTAAGTAAGTGTCAGAGTTCTCCCCCTTCCGTACTGGCTATCTGCAAATCATTTGCTGAAATTCAACCAGAGCTTGGTGTGAACACTGGATCAAGTAAGGTTGCATTATCAGGGCAAATCCAAACTTTTTGTGCATTTCTATCTATTGTCATTTTATGAAACATAATTACTACTACTAATAAGCAACTCTTCTTTTGTTTCTTTGGTTATGCTGGAATGTGAGAGCTACATAAATGAAAGAACCACAGATTTTGTCTGCCCTCCCGAAGATCTTTAAATATCTACATGCTTCTTTCCTAGCCCAGAATGTTATTGAGAAAACATACACTGTGTTGCCCGATGCAAGAAGTATGTTCAGTTAGCAGATATTGCCAAGTTTGTGCCTGTAAACAGGAGCTTGGATTTGTCTTTTCCAACCCAAGAAATCCTTTGATTCTGCCTGGACTGTGACTGATCATACTCATTCACAAAGCGAGAGAACAAATTGTTGCTAAGAGAGTGGAAATTCTGTGTTCAACCAATAATATCAAAACAGAGATAGCC